GTTGAGGTCCATGCCTACGACTACTGTACTGCGTGTCGCGGCTCGTTCAACACGTGCTCTAAGATGCTCATGTGTGCTTTTTATTGCTTTTATTTGGGCTCGACGCTTCCCCCCAGATTCATACAAGGGCGGCGGGTACACCGTGATCAGCGTAAGATCAAGACCAGGACCCTTGATGCGGACTTCGCCATAACGTCCAGGGATGTTCGAAGGACCTGCGTGCGCGTGCTTGATGTAGTTAGGGTGTAGACGCCTCCCCAATATGATGCAACATCCCGCGCTAGAATTCGAGTGAGGGGCCCGACTCCAGCCGAAGTGTAGTGCGATCCTGCGAGAACTCAAACGCTCCACGTGATACGTACGGCCTACCCATTCCCGAACACACGTGCCCTGGAGGAAGATCACATCCACATTAAGCCGACAAGCAATCTCATCTACTCTTCCTGCAGATACCAGGCTCAAAGGGTTGTACGTGACAAACTTCAGAGACATGCTACTTCTGAAAACAACTGCACTTCTGAAAGCCACTGGGAAAAATATGTTGCCCCCCACGAACGTCACCTGCACACATCAGAGATAGGCCCAGCCATGGACAGGCGCAACGCTGGGGTGTGGAAGTGTGTGCGATCGCCCCTGAAAAAAGAAGCTCGAGGGGAAGGGGCTGGAGGAGGAGGAGCAGGAGGAGGAGGAGGAGGAGGAGGAGGAGGAGGACCCCCTCCCCCTCCAACTTGTGGTGGTGGTGGAAAACAGGCCCATCACTGATGGCTCTGGCGATTCAACGCTATCCGACGCCAGTCGACGACCATCGACGCTAATCGAGGCTACATCCGCGGTGTCTCGTCGATTGCCAGACTCTGGCGCAAGCTGGTGCAGCCTGAGGGCGGAATAACGAAGACAAGCAAGGCTCTCATGAACTGCTACCACCACCCCCGCTCGGGAAAGGGCAGGGCAGAGGAAGAAGAAACATACCCTGAAAGCCTGGCGTCGCAATGTTTCCGAATTGAAGGTTTTCGCGGTGTTTCGGACCCCAGGACCATCATATATGGATCCGGCTCGAAGAATGCCGCAGGATAGAGTCCGGGGCTCTGGCCGTGATTTTTCACAATGTTGTATTATTTGTCGCGTGGTCGGATCTCAGGGAAGAGCTTCGCGAGGCCCTCGCTGTTCCTTAGGTCCTTCTGTGGTTGTTTCTTTAGCGCCCCCTGTGCACCCGGGCGCGCCTGGGTGCCCCCAAAGGTCTTCATTCATGATTGAGCGTTCCCAATGCTTGCAGCTTGACTGTGCGATCGCATCGATGAACACAAACTTCCTAAACATCCGCCACCGTGCCTCTGGCCACGGAGTGGGCGTGATCACGGGTCTTTTGCCTAATCCTTTCAGGCTCACTCCTCACTCCTGAGGAGTCATGATTAAAGTTAAGTCGGGCCTGTCCCCCGACAGGGGACTTTTCGACGAAAAAGAAAGAAAACCCCAAAAATAATGAAAAGCATAATCCAAAAAGAGTCTGGGGACTATTTTTTGAATACTGTTTGACCTTTTGGGGGTCTTTTTTGGAGTATCTTTTATTTTTCGTCGAAGATCCCCCTGTAGGGGGACAGGCCCGACTTAACTCTGGCCACGGAGTGGGCGTGTCCACGGGTCTTTTGCCTGATCCTTTCAGTCTCAGTCCTCACTACTGAGGACTGTTCAGGGGACCCGCGCCCCTCGCTCTCAAGTTAAGGGGCCCGGGGACACGCAAACAAATAGACACAAACAACAGGATTTCCAACATGTTCCTGCATGTTCTGGGTTCTTTTGTCTTCCCCCTCGCACAATATCAATCCTTTGCGAGTCATAGCAAAAAGGGGCCCGAACCCCTGAGGGGTCCGTTCAGTCTTAACCCTCACTCCTGAGGGGTCATGATAAATCCTAATCCTTTCAGTCCTAATCCTGAGGAGGTCTTCACTCCTTTTGCCGAATCCTTTCAGTCCTCACTTCTGCCTAATCCTTTCAGTATCAATCCTCACTCCCGAGGGGTCACGATAAGAAGGGGCCCGAACCCCGAAACTGCAACCTTCGGCGGGGCTTGGCGCGTGCCACCCGGGCTCCAGGCAGCGTCTTCGCAGGACTTCTCTCCAGGGGCCAGGGGGGGCCCCACGCATAGCCAAGAGGGCCCAACGCATAGCCAAGAGGGCCCAACGCATAGCCCAAAGTATAGCCAAGAGGGCCCCCCCCCGAGACCCTCGAGGCGGTCCGAGAGGGCCCCGAGGCGCCCAAGGATCGGCCCAGGACGCCCAAGATCAGCCCAAACTATAGCCAAGAGGGCCCCCCCCCCGAGGCCCTCGAGGCGGTCCGAGAGGGCCCCGAGGCGCAGGACTTCTCTCCAGGGGCCAGGGGGGGCCCCACGCATAGCCAAGAGGGCCCACCCCCCCCGAGGCCCTCGAGACGGTCCGAGAGGGCCCCGAGGCGCCGAAGGATCGGCCCAGGGCGCCCGAGATCAGCCCAAAGCAGAGCTAAGAGGGCCCCCCGCCGAGGCCCTCGAGGCGGTCCGAGAGGGCCCCGAGGCGCCCAAGGATCGGCACAAGACGCCCAAGGTCAGCCCCCGAGAGGCCTCCCGGGAGACATCCAACAAGCTGCATACCCACAATCCAAGCCTTAGTGGGCCCCGGAAACGGCAGGGCCGTTTTTTCACTGTTTCGGACAACAGAATCCATTGAAAATGGAAACGGCAACAAAAACGGCGACCGGAAGCGGCAACAAAAACGGCTCCAGGAGTGGAACCGGAGCCGGAACCGGTAAAAAAAACGGCGACGGAACCGGTAACAAACGGCGTCGGAACCGGCAAAAAAACGGCAAAACGGAACCGGTAAAACAACTGCCCTGTCGTTTCCAGGGCCCACTAAGACCCAGGCATAGTGGTGGGCCGGGCCGAGGGCCATTAGAGGCCTCCTCAATGGGGTCGGAACAGGCGCGGTCGAAGGGGCGCGCCGCATCGCCAAGGCATGGCCGATGTATCGGCGATGCATCGGCGATGTGTATCGGCGACGTCGGCGATGCCTCGGCGACGTCGGTGTGGGGAAGCATGGGCTGCACGTCGAGCACCATCGTCGATTCATTGGCGACACGGCGCGATCCTCCGACCCCATCCCCTCGGACCCCATCTAGGAAGCCTAGAGCCCTTCGATTTAGGTCGGGCGTGTCCCCCTACAGGAGGATTTTGGGCGAAAGCAAGAAACCCCCAAGATCTTCAAAAATACCTCAAACAATATTCAAAACATCGTCCCCAGACTATTCCCCCTGTAGAGGGACACGCCCCACTGAACCTTAGATACACTTCCAGAGGTCCGCGTGGATTGCTTGGATCGGCGCTTAGACCCCTTCGCCTCCCTGGCGCGCGCAGCGCGCCGGGGGGCGGCGCAGCGAGCCCAGGAGCCGACCCGTGAGCTCCGCGCGGAGCTCCGGACGTCTGTGCTTGGGCAGATGCTTCTGCTTCGGGGGTCGGGGTGCAGTCAGGCCCGAGCTGGACCGAGCCACGAAATCGGCTCAGAACCGTCTCGACTCGGATCGAGATCGGAACGCCGCGCCCGGCTCCGGCCGGCCACAACCGATGCGGGAGAACTCGAACCGAAGAGAATCGGATCGGAGTCGCGGCCACAGCCGGCGAATTGACTCGCATGGACTCGGATCGCCCGCGATCCTGGCAGCGATGGGAGGAAGGAGGGAGGGGCCTCGAGGATGGAGGATGAGGGTGCGGAACGATGGGGGGCCGAGGGAGAAAACTGCCAGGCCCCTCGCGCGAAGGAGGAGCCTAGCCCCCACATAGACGCCCCAGTCCGCCACTGCTGCGTTTCAACATATCGTGATCTCTCGACCTCCTGCCCTGCAGATGTCGCTGACGATGGGGAGCGCCAGCGTGCCTTCAGGCCGGCATCTGCCGGAACCGTTGAGATTGGAGGTGTCGTTTCCGCGCGCGTCATCGTCGGAGCCCTGCTGAGAAATGGGCCTCGCTGGAACTGCCTTGGCAAATATGCTGTCCGAGCTTTCACCTCCGAGGCTCCAGGATATGTCCCCTATGAGGGGAGGGTTCTTTAGACCCTGCGCGCGCGAAGCGCCGAATTTCCCAAGCCCTTGTGGGTTGTGACTGATGGGCCTCGTGGGAGGCAAAATCCTTGAACACGTTCATGCTTACTATCGTTCGTGTTTGGTGTAGGGATATAAGCATGCTGTACACTTAGTTCTACGCATCAGAGGGTGCGGCGGGCCAGGCGACCAAGACATTTGCTGCCCGAGACAAACTGAAAAAAAACGCAAGAGGCCACAAGAGGCGGTCAAAGGCCAACCCAAAGAACTTGTCGCCGCAGGCCGCCGGATAACTTGATGCGCAACTTTAGCTTCCAACATGCGGCCTTGGCTTCCGCTTCAATGATGACGTGTGCTTCACCATAGCGCACAATCCTAGCCTTCGCTTCATAATTCGCCTCTATAGTCTGGGCGGATTGGAGAGGACGCGCGAGAGGACACAGGACCCTTCCGAGGACCAGAGTACCACAGGAATGTAGAAGACGTGGGTCGCGAACGCACAGGACACAAGGGTACTCAATCAACCTCGACCGTAGCTGAGGCAGCGATGGAGGAGGTGAAGTCCTGGCCGAACAGGCCCGCCAGGGGCAAGCCAATGTCCTATACTGCTGTGCCAGCCGAGCAGCGAGCCCGATCCAGATCGCAGCGCGTGCGCCCGAGAGGTGACATCTGAAATTAGCTCGCACCATGCCTTCCGAGCGTGCGCTGTGTCTGCCGCCGCTCCTCTTTTGTCGCCCTTGCTGAGCTTGGCCTGATGGGCAGATGTTCCACCACCACTACCGTAGGACCATAGGTAGGAGAGGGAGGAGGAGGATGAGGAGGAGTAGGAGGAGGAAGAGGAGGAGACGGACCTCCCCAGCCTCCCTTCTCCCCCGTCCGACCCGACCTATGGCAGTGGTGGAAACCTAGCCCATCATGGCCGAGAGGAGGAGAGGGACGAGGGGCCTCGGGCTGGCCGGAAGGCTGCACAACGAGGTTCGGGCACTGCGCCGGCTGGGGCGCGGCAACCGCGGCGTCCTCGAGGCGCTCCTGGGCGGGCAGATCTCGTCCCGCGTTCCCCATCGGCCTTCCCATGGCGGTGGACTAACCTCCCTTTAGTAAACCTCCCTTTAGTGAAAACGGCCTAGGACCGAAACCGACGACCTGGACCCGCAAAAATGACGGCCGCGACGCCCTCTCGCGAACCGAAAACGGCCAATTCGCCAATCGACGTGGCAGGGTAGGAGGTCTATCAACCTCCGATCCCCTCTCAAAGCAGGGGGCGCGGCAAGAACGACGAGGGGGACCTGTGTGAGATGAACGGGTCCCGAGGGTAACGGGTCCTGAACCCCTGGGTCTTCCCCCAAGACCAGCTTCTCCTCCCGAGTTGTTTTTGACACTCCCGGGGCCCGTGGCCAGGAGCCCGACCACTGTGGAAGACCTGGGGCCCGTTGAACTCAGGACCCACTTCCAGCATGGCGAGGGGAGCAGGAGGAGCAGTGATCAAGATGGCCACATTACTGGTCGTCGTGCAGTTACACAACTCGGCAACGGGGTCTCCAGCGATGTCTACCTTCGCAAACCCTCAGTCCAGATCGCTCCAACACGAATGGGGCAATTTCGAACCACCACAACTAGTGACAACCTGGTACCCGACCAAATGTTCAGGCATAATACTGGAATGTACCGTACTGAACGCAAATTGTGATCGCTACGGCACGCATGGTACAACTACTTTACTGAACAGCAGAGGATGCTCGATATTGAACAACACGCGACACCTCGGTGGTCGTTCCTCTATAGAAAGGCCCGGATGCAGCACATGGGTCTGAGTTTTTTTCAGGTCGAACAACACCACAATACGCTTGCGGCTAGCAGCTTCCAATCATGCTAGGTGAGGCCGGTTGGGGGTGCGCGCCAGTCCATCCTCAAAACTCCCCCCCGTTATCCTTAGTTGCGTGCTTCGCCACCGATTCCATCGTTCGACGTGGCACTCGACGCTGCAAGAACGTCATGCCTCGCTCAACCTGCATCGTTGCAGCGGTTGCCGTGCGAGCTTGTAGATACAACTGCTAAAAATCCGCCAGTGTGCAGCGTTCGAGGCATTGAATGGACTGTTCTCTGGTTCTCAAAAGTTGGACCCCTTCGGCCAAAAATCGCTCCAAGATGGCCTCAAGACGGCAGGAGAGGCAAACAGAAGGCCTCAAGAGGTCCCAGAAGGACCGCCAAGAGGTAACAGTCATTAATTGTCCATTGGCGTTTGATGAAATTTAGCGTTCCCGCCCACTCGGATTTCAAACACTCCAAGAAGCCCCTAAAGTCCCCAACATCGCCCCCAACGGCCTAATTGTCCACAAAGAGGGCCCCAAAACGTCCTAAGAGGGGGAACACTGACTAACATGTCAGACCCCCGTCCCAATATAACTCCGAAACTGTCAGCAGGCCCTAAAGAGGCATCCAAGAGGCCCCCCAGAGGCTCCAAGAGAAGGCTCCCAAACGCCCTCAGGATGACCCCAAGAAGCCCCGATAATCGTCCAAGAAGCATCCCAGAAACCCCCAAAAGGGCAATCCCAAGATACCCGTCTATGCATCCAAGAGGCCTCTGGCCCACGACCAGACACGGTGGTGGTGAAATGGCCCAAAAGCCACTACATTCGCCGCCCCCTGTTGCCTGCTAAATATGTGCATGGCAAGCCAAATGAGAACCGTTCGAATGCACACCAAGAGTTGCCACAGGCATCTGGCTCAGCCCGCTACTGGTCCACCGGACTGTCGATACCCCATGGAACCCAAACAAGCGTTTCGCCTGAGGCATGCTCAAACCATGGCCAAGACGGTCTCCAAGATGGTTCCCCCAAAGCCCCCATGACGCCCAGTGTGGCCCCACGAGACCCCAAGATGACCCCAAAATGCCTCCAACACGGCCAAAGTGGACCCGTCCTCTGGGCCTGGCTCGTCCTCCCGCGAGTCGTCTCTTGTGACGGCCGCGGGGCCCAGGAGAGCGCCCTCGGGAGGCGCCAAAAATACTAGAACAATCCCGTCGTCCGTCGTGAGGTTTCTTCGCAGCGCGGGGGGGGTCTGGGAGGCCACTGATCATCGAATGCGAGATTTTTCCGGTATGTGCTTCACATTCCAGTATCGGTCCGAGTTGCTTCAAAAACGGCCGCAACGGATATGTCGCTGACGATCGCGATCGAAACAAACAGTTTGCATTCTGGATTCCATGAGGAAGGATGGGGGCCGATTTTCCTTGAACCCCACCCTCCCCCTGAGAAATCGTGGGGGGCAGGGGTAGGGTTCGCATCTGGCCCCCTACCAAAGGCCCAATCCTTTGCCCAGGGCTGCTTTCTCATGCCGCACCGCTTCTGGACGGTCCCAGGGCCCGGGCGTTGGGGCGGACGTGCCCCCCTACCAGCGGATTCCGGGCGAACAATGAAGAGCACCCCAGGCATATACCAAACATGCTCAGACATAGACAAACGAAATCGTCCATTGACTTTTTTACTACCATTGAAAATTCCCCCTCCAGGCGGATTCTGGGCGAAGAATGAAAAACACCCCAAACATATACCAAACATGCTCAAACATAAGAAGAACATCGTCCCCGTCGAAAAGACCTCCGAGGAGGCCTCCGGGAGGGCCTTCCCGGAATGAGGCGCGGCACGCGAAACAGTCAACGGGCTTCTTCCCGGAAGGACGGAGACAACTTCCCGGAGGTCGATTTTAGCAGCCACGGATTTCCCAGCCCTTGCCCGGCTTCCGATATAGGTCGGGCATGTTCTCCTACAGGCGGATTGTGGATGCGAAATCAAACATATGCAGAACATGCGCAAACATGCTTCAAAATACAAGAAAAATCGTCATCACACTAGTTCTCAACAATTCTTGAATTTCCCCCCTGTAGGAAAACACGCCCGACTCAACAGAAGACCTGCCCGCCCTCCAACACCCAACGATCTGGGGAGGGGGCGGCAAAGGGGCAGGCAGACGCGGAAACCCGGCCCTCCCAGCAGGGCTCCTGCGCGCGCGATGACCGGCGCCCTGGGGTCACGGAGCCGCCCCAGGGCCCTGCGTGGGGGGCGGTGGCTGGCGGGACCTGCGGGGGGGCTCCTCCTCCTCCTCCTCCTCCTCCTCCTCCGAAAAGACAGCGCCGAAGCTAAAAACCATCGCGGGGACAGCCGATATGGAGCCCCACGCGCCGCCAAGCCTGGTCCCGGGCAGGATGTGCTGCCCGGCGGAGGGCGTGCAGCACACGCCGAAGCAGCGGGGACGGCAACGGCGAGCGCGCGGAGACGGCGCCCCTATACTTCCTTTTTGGATTCGCGGGTCGAGAGCGAGCCTCTTCCGGTCGAAGCTAAGCGAGTTGGGCCGTAATCAACAGAGGAAGGGGACAAGCCCATACACTTCCAGCCCACCAAGCGGCGCCGGATGAGCGATGATGTTGTTTCCAGGGCAGAAGAAGCCGGAGTGGCAGCGATTAATGAGTTCGCGTCGTATTATTCTGGCGTGGTTCATTATCGTCTCTCTTGTAAAACAACCATGCGCACGTTTCGTCTGCAGTGTGAGGATCCCAACGCGTGGAATCCGCCGACCCTCGCCTGCTGGGAGTGCCAAGGGGCGTGAGGTGATGGGATGTCCCCCTTCCCCGGGGGTCTGGAATCCAATCCTGTAGGGGGCGAGGGGCCCAGCTGGGGGGGGGGGGGGGGGGGGGCGGGGCCCCCAATTATGCACCCCGTGGCCCTGAGAGGGCCCACGGGCCGACTGAGCCCCAGAACGGCCCAAGAGGCGCCAAAGACGGCCTCAAAGGACTCCCAAAGCTCGAACTGACATTTCGAGCCCTCTGCTCCCAAAGGACCCCCGAGACCGCCAGCAGGCGCTCAACAGACCCCACAAGAGGCTCTAACCGGACTCAAGGGGAAGGATGCAAGGGCAACCTTGGAAAACTGCTCATTGATCATCCTTACTATGCGCGTCGACTGGACCAATACTTATGAATTCGACGATGGATCCTCTGTTGCCCATCAACCCCGGGCGGTCATCGGCAGTCATCTGGCGGCCTTCGGCAATCTTCGGCTGTCTTCGGCGGCCTTCGCCGGTCTTCTGACGGACTTCGGCGGTTCCCGTCGGCTTCTGGCGGTCTTCGGCGGCTTCCTGCGGTTTTCGGCGCGACAGCGAGCACGACGCACGACGCACGCCCGCACACGGGCACCATGCGAAGGTGCTGCGGGGGGTGCGGCGCCGGAGCGCCAGATCCTCGGAAGACGAGGACCGATCAGGAACCCTGCTCGGTCTCGTACCAGCTCCGTTGTGGCCCCTTCCCATCGACATTGCCTCGAGGCTGAAGATCATCGGAAAACGAAGACCGATCAGGAACCCTGCTCGGTCTCGTTCCACAGCTCCGTTGTGGCCCCTTCCCATCCATATTGCCTTGCGGCTGAAGATCTTGCCCTTGAGGCTGGAAGTCGACAGGTGGAGGCAGAGCGCTAGAAGCGGAAGACGGGGTGGCGGCAACTGGTGGTGAATGCTGGGAGTCGGAAGCTGGAGGTCGGCCACATGAGGTGGGAGGTCGATAGGTGGGGGTCGGAAACTGGAGGTGGAAGGTTGGACGTCGTCAGCTATTGGCGGATGGTGGGAGCTGGAACCTGGATGCTGGAGGCTGAAGTTGGCAGTATTTGTTGTGACTCGGGCAAGTTTTCTTGCATGACATTAACCCCCCTCCCCAATGTTTCCTGCGACAGCGCGGCCCAAGAAGGCGTACAAGTGAGAAGTGAATCTCGACTTGCGTGAAATCCAGGTTTCCTTTCTGGCCTCGCCACGCCTTCCCCCTCCTCCCATCCATGCAAATACACCTGCCAGAATCCACAGAATAACTGCCTCAAAGGTACCGCTACCGTTTCGAAGGACTTCTCTAATAACTCAGGACCCCCCTCGCGTCGTGAAAACATGAAGAGGTGAGGCTTTGGCTTTCAGCCTCTGGTGGCCCTCGTCGGGACCCAGGATTGTCAGGAAACGACTCACGATGAAACGCCGTTCCCAGGGAATGTGGCGAGACCTCCGGGGGGTCGACGTTGCGAGAAACTCCTGACGTTAGGGGCCTGTCGACAGCACCCGTACCGCCGAACCCGACGTCAGGACCTCTCTCGGGGTGCGATCTGCGCATTCTTCTTGAGGCGGTGGCTAGCTTATCTTGTTTCACAGGCGTGCAAACGAATCCCGACTTGCGTGAAATCCAGATTTCCTTTCTGGCCTCGCCACGCCCTCTCCGCGCCTCCATCTGGCGGCGAGCCAGGGGGGAAGTCGGAGGGGGCGGGCCTCAAGAGTCGTCGGGGTTTCCGAGAAAACCCCGCGCCTTCTGAGAAGTTCTCTGTGTCGGAAAAACCATCAGCTTCTCGAAAAAACCCAAATCTTCAGAGTTTTCCGAGAAGGCCCGCCCCCTCTGACTCCCACCCCCTGGGTTCGCCGCCGAACCACGACAGTAACCCGCCAGGATGCAGAAAGAAAAAATCAGCCTCCGGGGCAGTTTTAGACGGCGTGCGAACAGAAGTCACCACCTGAACGACGATCAGAGACGGGTCTCGCGCGGGATTACGTAGCTGAAGGGGCCCTGGGACACACAAACACGTAGACACAAATAACAGGATCCCCACATTCACCAATATTTTCTGGGTTCTGGTCTTCCCCCACACTTCCCATGTTTTCCTATATTGTCTGGGGAATCGACGATGGATTGTGTCTGTGTGTGTTTCCCCCTCCTGAGTAGCAGCCTCACGCAGCAGCTCACGCGCGCCGCCGACGCGCCACGCTAATTGTTGGCGGCGCGCAGAGGGGGGTGGAGGGAGGGGGGCAGGCTTCTTAGAAGGAGGCTGCTTCTTAGAAGGCGCCGGCCTCACATCTGTAGATGAGGCCCGCGCCTGCTAAGAATCAGGGTTGTTTCTAAGAAACCCTCCCGAGGAGGAGCAGGAGGAGGAGGAGGAGGAGGAGGAGGAGAAGGAGGACAATGAGAAAAAGGAAGGAGGAGGAGGAGAGGAGGAGGAGGAGGAGGAGGAGGAGGAGGAGGAGGAGGAGGAGGAAGAGAGGAGGACGAGGAGGAAGAGGAGGAGGAAGAGGAGGAACAGGAGGAGGAGGAGGAGAGGATGAGGAGGAGGAGGAGGAGGAGAGGAGGGACAATGAGAAAAAGGAAGAGGAAGAGGAGGAGAGGAGGAGGAGGAGGGAGGAGGAGGAGGAGGAGGAGGAGGAGGAGGAGGAGGGGAGGAAGGAGGAGACGAGGAGGAGGAGGAGGAAGGAGGAGGAGGAGGAAGGAGGAAGAGGAGAGGGAGGAGGGAGGAGGGGGAGGAGGAGAGAGAGGAGGAGGAGGAGGAGGAGGAGGAGGAGGAGGAGGAAGAAATGAAAGGAGGGAACCCTTCCCCTGCAGGACCTGGGCAAGCCCCGCCCGGCCGCCGCCCGCTCCGCGGGGGGAGCCCGAGAGCGGCAGCGCCGCGCGGGCGCGGCCCGCGCCCTGCAGCGCCGACTGGGGGCGGCCAGCGCCCGATGCCGCCCGGGGGCGGCCGGCGCCGGGCGCAGCGGAGCCCGCGGCGGCGCCGGCGCCGGCGTCCGGCGTCTGCGCCTCGGCCACAACAACATTTTTTCCGTGGGGGGGGGGCAAAGGGGGGGAGAGGAGGGGGGGAAGAAGAAGAGGGGGGGGGAAAGCGGGGGGGGGGAAAAAGAGGGGGGAGGAGGAGGCGGAAGAGAGGGGCGGGGCAGAAAAAGGGGGGGGGACAAAAAGGGAACGCGCGCCCCCACGGAGCTTCGCCCGACTCGACCTCGGCTGGTGTGCGAAGCAGAAGGTTGCCAGGCGGACTGGGAAAACCGCGGATCGGGCGGGTGGTGATGGCGGGTGGCCTTACTTGGTTGGGTGGCCTTGAAAGGGCAAGGCCCTGCGGGTTCCAAGAGTAGCAGCCCGCTCCAAACATCAAGGCCTCCTAGATGGGGTCAGAATAGATGCGGTCGGGGACTCGCGCCGCATGGTCGGTGATGCATCGGCGATGTCCTGGCGATGCGTCGTCGACGTGGGCGATGCATCGGCGACGTCGACGTGAAGCGAATCGGGCCCCACATCGAGCTCCATCGGCGATGCACCGGCGATGCGGCGCGACTCTCCGACCCCATCTGCTCCGACCGCATCTAGGGGGCCTAACAAAAGAGGCCCTAAAGGGCCCCCATGGGGCCCTCACGTCACCCCCATGTAGGTCATGACCAAGGGAACGAAGAACGACAGAAACAGAGCAACGGACCTCTCTTTTTGCGGTGACTGATTCTAGCGAATCTCTGGACTCGTCGTGGCCTGAGGCTTCGCGAGCTTGAAGGCGTGCCTTAAAACTCGCCTAGGTTTGGGGGGCGGGAGATCGAAAGACACCTTGAGTGAGAGAGTGGCAGCGGCATGGGATCCAGCAGTGGCTGAGTGCCGCGCAACACGGTGACATCACTTCAAAGGGCCCCTCTGCTGAACCCCATTGCTAAAAACCTCCAGGGCAACGGACCCCTCTGTTAGCGGTGACTGATTCTAGCGAAACTCTGGACTCGTTGTGGCCTGTGGCTTCGCGAGCTCAAAGGCATGCCTTAAAACTTGTTCCCCCCCAGCTCATCCCGAAACGATCCAGGTTGGAGCTTCCCTTGGGCGGGAAGAACAAGGGTGGGATATACATGCTATTTGTTCTACTGTGCTGGCTAGAACTGTTGATGCCATAGACTGCGCCAGCAGTGGAGGATAGTCAGAAGCGACGCGGGTGCGGCGATGGCCGCCTGGCCCACTGCCACTGAGTTGCCAGCGAGGCTGGGTGGTCTTTGAACAGATACATCCCCGTGGCACTGCTTCCACCTGGCTCCGTGCTGGCACTGGCCCAGCTTAGCAGTCGAAACGTGTTTGCGATGAGACACTTCGCATACTTCAGCAATGTGCCACGAGCGGCTTGCCAAGGGGTGCCCCGAGATAGCGGGGGTCTCAAGCCTCAAGCAAATTCTAAAACGACGGGGCCACTCGTTCGAGCTTGTTATCCAGCTTCACTGCTTTGGCATCCGCGGGCGTCAGGAATGAGGCAGGAAAACCCAGCGGCGATGCACGGCCGCGCGCCGGTCTGGGCCTGTCGCGTGCAAGAGAAAAAGTTTGACACAGAAGATCCATCGCTGCTGCGACTAGCCAGCCGCCTCGGGCGTCGGATAGAGCGTAGCGCCGTGGGCGGCAACAAATCCTGCCATTCAGCATCGCAGACCACATCCCACCTTCTCGTTCCAAAAATATGGGCCTCTGCCGCTCGAGACACAGCGCTGCAGCCTGCAAAGGAGTCGGCAAAACGCCGACCTTTGCCAAGACGGCAGCGACGGAGTCGGCCCCTAGAGCGACCGCTCCGATGACCGAGGTGCACTGGGCTCACTTTCGCCGCATTTGCACTCCGTTGGGGCGGTCGGTCAGGATGAGCGCCAGATGCCTCTCCGCCTCTTTGCGCGTCGCGCGCGGCCAGGGGTCTGGCTTGGCGTAGACGCTTCCGAGCCTGCTGCGGTGCTCGCACTGGTGCATTGATTTGGCCTGCGTCCGCTCCCCCCGTCGCCGCGCTGAAGTCAGGTTGCGCCAGCCCATTGCCAGGTCGACGAAAGCGCCTGAGTGTCTCATCTGGCAATGCGCCACGGGCGCTACCCCGAGATCCTCCGCCGCCCCCCCGAGGAGCACCGCCGCCTCGGAGCAGTCGAAGTTCCACAGCGGCTGCTTCGACGTCGCCGAGGACAGCCGCTCGAAGACAGCGCCCAACCCCTGGAGGGGCGGCGGGTCCAGGGGGCAACCCTCGTCGAAATGCCCCCGCTTGCTTAGCGTCCTCTGCTCCCTCGGGTGAGTCTGCGGCGCCCAAAGCCTGCTGGCGCTGGGCGTCGACGGAGCTGGATTGCACCGCCGGGCAGCCAGCAAGGTCGAGGGCCGCGCATAGATCGAGACGCCCACCATCAGGAAGACAGCCAGGCGCAAATGGCCTCTCGTCGCCAACCTCCGAGCAAACCCGCGCCAGACAGGGAGCGCTAGGGCCTTCCGCCTCCAGCCAGGAGTCAGCCCGCGCCAGGCCTTCAACGTTCGCCACGTCCGCTGTAGCGTCCGGCCTCCCGCGCGGCAGAAGCCCAGGTTCGCGTTGACCCAGGCCGCCGCCGTCTGGTCCACGGAGCAGCTCTGCTCGCCCCGCAAGTAGCGCTTGGTCAAGTAGTTGCACATGAGCTCGTCGATATTGGCGCCCCGCTTCTGCGCGATCTGCTTCTGGGCCAGGCCGACGTCCGAGAATGACCGATCGAATTGTCGCTGGTGCGTCGTCACTGCCGGGGTCTTTGGGAGACTCGCGCCTGCCTCCTGGGCCGCAAGGGTGGCGCCGGCATGCGGCTTTGCCCGCCGATGCGACCTCCGCGCGCGCAGCTGCCGCATCTTCGCGCGGCTCCTCCCGAGGAGCGCAACCACCGAGTCGGGGCAGCTTGAGCTGCTGTCGCCCTCGGCGTCGCCCCCTGCGTCTCCAGGGAGGTCCAGCCCGTTCGCGCCCCTCCAGTCGAGAGCGACGAAGTGCCGCCCGTCCAGGGCCGTCTTCTTCGCGGGCGGCAGGACAGGGGCAGGCGCCAGCGACCTCGCTCTCCTCGACGAGCCCAGGCCGGCGGCTGCCGCGGCCCCCCATCGAGGCCGAAGGAGAGCTCGCCCAAGCCCCTCCCGCCACCGGCGCACGAGCCCGCGCCGCTGGCCGACGGGTGACTGGACGTCTCGGGGGCGCCCGTGCTTGCGGCGCCAGCGGGCCGAGCGTCCGAGCCCTCCGCGGCGGCGTCGGAGCCGTGCCCGAGTGTGACAGACAGGCAAGGCGGCTCGGTGACCTCTGCAACGCGAGACAGCGTCGAGCCAAAATGACTACGTAAAAGGAACGCAGACAGAAGATTCGGAGGGGCCGGCTCATGGAGGACGGGTGTAAACTGGACCGGAACTTATCATCGAGATGTGATGTCAAAATGTGAGTTAGCGTTCAAACCGGCTGCCTTCATCGCCCCCAATAAACTCCGAAGGGATCCATCGAATCGCGGGCGAGAGCCCCAGCGCGATTGCATAAACATAGAACCGGCAGATCTGAGCCAGCAAACTGACGCAGGACGAGCGAGCCCTACAAAAGGAAAGCGCCACATACATGTGGTCAGACAGGGAGAGCTGTCGAACGCATGCCCCGCGCGAGGTCTTTGCGAGCCGTTGGATAGATCTAGCCAGGGCCTCTAGAAACAAGGCGCCTTCGTGGAAACGCCGGACCCCCAGCCGAACAATCTCCCCGGCCCCCTGACGGAGATACTGCCAGGAGACCCCATCAAAGTCGGGGTCGAGCTCCCGAGAAGACAGGTGGTCATAATCAAATGGGCCAGGGTTTCTCTCGTCAAAAAAACTGCACAAGACGCCAGTGATGTCAGGGGCTAGGTCGGCGGCTGCGAGCGCGCACTCTCGCGCCGTCCGCCCGCCCCAAGACGCAGCGGGCGCGGGCCCGCTCGGGCGCCCAGTCCACGTGTCCCAGCGCACTCTGGGGCCGAAAAGACGGCGCCATGCCCCGGCCGCTCTCGCAGGGTTTGTCTGGAGCACGCAGCGGTTTCACGCCCCCCACCAGTCTGGGACCATGAGCGCGAGGAGTCCGCGACACATCGGGATCTGCTTAACTACCTCTGGGCACAGGCGCGCGGTCACTACGTAGCGGCGCTGCACAAACAGTGCGAGGCGCGCCAGCAGCTCAGAGACCCTTGGAGGGCGAGCCCGCAGAAAGTGCAGCGGCCCCCACTCCCAGCCCGAAGTAGACCCCCCAGGTGCGACCGTCGCTGACGCCCGACCACGCAAGCTCAAGTCCGAGCTTGGTCCAAAGCGCCTCGCAGGCACCCGAGCAGACGGTGCTCTTGCGCAGGTCCGGGCCGACAGCCTTGCACAGGCCAGCCCAGTTCTCGGGGGCGCGCGGGGCCAGGCTCTCCGAGGAGGTGAGCGCGCCCACGTTGTCCCCGTAGAAAAAGGCTCCGCCGCCCTGGCCGAGACCGGCCCCCACCCATTGCGAGTTGGGGGCCACGGTCGCTCATCGGGGCCCTTTCCGCGTCTGCAGTTGCCCCATCAGGCCACTGACCACGTCGTGGGGCCCTTTCCTCGCCAGCGCCCTGGGCGAGGAGGAGGGGCCGAGAGAACCCCGTGAGGGCCGCGCCGATGCAGGGGGAGACCGGGGTGTCAGGACCTGGCCTTGTCCCTTCCAGCTCTCGCCCCCCTGGGCCAAGCGCGCGGCCGGGGGCAGCGGGGGCTGGGGACAACTTCGAAAGGCTCAGCGTTATGAGCATCCCGCAGAAGCAGTCTTTGACGTCGGTCATGCCTAGGATGAACCCGAAGCCGTTCTGCGGCCCCCCCCCCCCCCCTGGCGAGCCAACGGGCACGTCGTCGGGCAGCTTGATCTCTACCCGACTGAACCCCTCACGCGACAGGAGCCGCGCACTGGGGGGCGCGCCGCGCCAAGCATTG